ACTTGGCTGACTGCTGAGGGTTTTGCAGCGATACCCATCTCCTCTGAGCAGGATCTCTCCATGGGCTGGGCTGCTGAAATTTAACTGCCCCTTGCATTCAGCCTGCTTAACCCTGACACACTCTGCCCACGGGGGATCAAAAGCCAGATCAGCAGGGAAACATGAGGCCAACCCAGACACACTCCAGATTCCCATCATTTAACTCAGATCTGAACGAATCACTTAGCAACCAAGAAGGGAAAACACAGAAACCCACCAGCCCCAGACCCCCAGCATCTCCCCCACCGCCCCCAACAACAGGTCCCAGCGGAGACCTGCTCTCTGAAGCACAACTCACCAGCTCCAGCCCACCTTGGTGTCTTCCCCTGGCAAAAGCTCTTCCTCAGCACCTGCCCCACTCCTACTTTAATAGCCTACTGCACTAATCAGCCCTCATTAGCCTCTAAGCCCCTTCTGACTCTCTCCCCTGCTTTGCAGTGGGGTGTTTTCCCTACTGAGCCCATCTCTTTTTGCTCCCTGCCCAGGTGGTGGGATTCAACCCTTTTCCTCTCCTAATTTGTGGCTTTCCCTCCTCCCATCCCTCCGTGCTGCTCACCCACCTCCCAAAGCCCACTTAAGGATGCCCAGCCCTCCGTCCCCTCTCCTCTCTGAAGGGAGACCCCCTTGCACTCCTCCTGCCCCACTTCCAGCCCCACGCTGATGTCTCGCCAGCCTGGTGGGGTCTAGGGAGCTGGGGGCAAAGCCACGGGTGTTTCTCACCTCTTCCTGAAAATCACCTCTTTTAGAAGTCTTCATGGATGCTTCCCACCTTACACTCTTGCCGAACTCGTTTGCAGCTGCCTACGTTGACCGAAGGATCCCGAGGTTCAGGCAGGGGTCTGGACACAGCGTCCGCCTCTGCCTGGCTCACCGGCTGGCTTGCACAGCGCACGCTGCAGAGGGGTCCCCGTCTCTGCTGTGGTCTCTCTGTGGCCCCCCAGTCGGCTGCGTGGGGTTCCCAGGATAAGCCTGCTGGGAAGGACAGCCCCGAGCCCTGCTCTGCCGGCCCTGATGCCGCTGTCTCCCGCAAGGCTCCAGCGTGTTCCCTGCCCCAGCCAATGCTGTAGGACACCTCAGGGCAGCAACACGCGACACGTATGTGGCAGCTTATAGAAAGGATTGGGGAGTCTTTTCCCCCTTTTATTGAAAACAGTAATTTCTATTCTAGTGCAAACACTGTACATTTTACATCACAAAGCAAGAGATAATTTACAGGATACACTTCCATCTGGGAATCCTTCCCGTGGCTTCACACGTCAAGCTCCACCAGCCTCATCAATCATCCATCCCTGTCATGCTCAAAAATCCCACTTAGAGGGAATCAGCCACCTATTGCTATGTCAGGGGCGGGGGGGCTGAGAAATCAGCGTTCGTACAGAGCAGGCGACAGGAATGTGCCTCAAGATCATTTTCTCCCTTGAATGGTACCCAAACTTAGTGATAACCGGGGTAACCATGGCAACTTCCTAGGAGCTGCAACCGAAAGTCTACTAAAACCCTGGAGAACTCCATGCTTTCAGGATAAGGCACTTCATTTGCACATATATTTACACGGTTCAATAAAATACAGATTAAACATACACGATCATAATATTTCGCTTTGGCTTGACAGACAGCTAGACGCTGCCTCTTGGCTGAGGTCATCAGCAATTAAGAAACAAACAACACAACCCGTCCATTCATCCAGCTGGACTCCATTTAGCAAATCCATGTGAATGAAGCAACATTGTCTCAGATGCTCTGATTTACCCCTTGATGTCACCCAGCTCGAAGGTGATGTAAAGGTCTCATCTGGACTGACAACAGCCCAGTCAGCTGTGGTGGCATCCCCAACCAAGCAGCCCAACCCAAGGCAAGACCCAACTAAAACTGGAAGTGCAAAAGCTTAGACAACCTTCCTGCAGGAGTAGCCCCATGCAAGTCATTTCATTTCCTCCCACAAATAAAGTGAGGAAGGTGAACAAGGGTTTGCACAGGCACTTACGTGAGCCCCTTCATGTAAACACCACAGCGTGGGGGTAGGGATGGGTATCTCGGTCCACAGATGGGTAACGGGGTACCAGGAGCTTCATGCCCTCTGAACTGTCTCCTTGCTAACTTCAGAAATGGGTGCCTGTACACAGACACCAAAGAAAGCTGCTCGAGGTGATCTTTCTACTGCAGAAAAGGTGAACGAAGACTAGGGGAAAGCCACAGGCCACCAAGATGCTGAAGGAAACAGCTGAAACCTCCAGGGTGGACACTCGGGCAGCCTCAGGCTACCACACGGGAGTTCGTTCAGGCTGCTGCCGCTGCTGGGAATTTGGTGGACCGCGGAGGAGGGCAGCAAGGCACGGGGAGGGGAGAGCACCAGGCTAAGGCACTCCACGGCCGGTTCAACCTCTGAGTAACGTTACACAGCACTGGGTCTTTTTTCTTTCTGATCGTGCAGGACATGTTCTTCAATAGTTTCTCTGTTTGTGTAGGCACAGGAACTAAGAGTGAGTTTCTAAGCGAAGGCTGAGATTTCCAACGTGATCACTTGGCTCTAGGAGTTGGAACCACACTACTCATGACAGAAATATTTTGGTTTAGAGACGTTAGCTTCTCCAGACTACAGAAGGAAAAGCCAAAAAAAGGGATCAAACAGAACACCATGGATTTCTTAAAACGCAGTGCTTGTCCAGCCTCACTTCCCCTGCTGGTGTTCTGTCTGCAAGCGTAATCTGCGACACTTAGCTTTTTGTCCTGATCACAACTAGATTTCTTTTTTTTTTCCTCAAAAAAGTCCATACAGGAAGAAAAAAATATTCCAGCAGCAATACACACAGTCACGAGCACAACTTACACCAGTTTGGATTTAGGGCTTTTTTTCCCAATGTTAGCTCAAATACTTTGGCTGGATTTCCATTAATCCTCTGCCAGTTTAATTTTCACCTTCTCTTTAAAGAGATTTATTTCTCATTTCCCTGCAATATGCTGTTTTAGACTATCAAAGCCCACTGTCGGACATCTACATATGCCCAGCGTGTCTGCAGCAAACACCAAGATGGAGACCTAAGCCACTCTACCAGAAGTATCCCTCATGACTGAGCTTCATTCTTCTTCACTTATGGTCCAGCCTGGACCACAGAGTAGCTCTGTCACTTTCAGCGGGACTATTCCATGGCAAAGTCCCACTCAGTTTGGGCAAGTCTCCTGCACAAGTGCTATTTGGCATCAATAAGCCCCCTCCTTCCCCCAAATCTGAAAGAGGCAGGCATCACCAGCAACATGAAAGATCCCGATTTCCTCACAATGCTTGCATGGAAGAAATCTCTTTTGGGTTGCGTCTCCTCTGCTCTTCATGGAAAGAAGGAAATTAAGTCCTAATTAGCTCTGCAGACCCCAGAGGAGGGAGGACAGCAGGTAAGGAGAGCAAAGGAGAGTGGTTAAGGCTACAGGACAAGTCTCACTGGGCAGCGTTACGGGAACTGGGGGGAGATCTGGTCTTCGTGTGGGATGCTCCCTGCTGAGACATTACCTGTCCTCAGAGTGGCTGGCAGAGACTTTCCATGGGGATGTCCTTGCATGTTCCCAAGATCCACATGGGGAAAATTTGCAAAGGAGCGCCATTTCTTTGGGGTTTCTCATGGGAAGATGTAAGCTGGCCATTTCAAGCGCCGCCCGAGGCTACCGGGAAGAGCTCTGACAAGGGTGAGAGAGGCTGCGGCTGGAATTTCAATGCACGGCTCCAGGAACCTGGATGCAGCACAAACATCCCAAACATTTTCAATGGATTTTATTTTGTTTAATAAAAAACACCAACCAAGCTTGCATGTATATCTTATATATATAAATATATACAGTATATATAAAACAAATGCATCTGGACAACGCCTTTCCCTGTGGCGCAAACTGTAAGGCATAGAAAGGAGTGTCCTAACAGTCCTATTCTTGGCACTACAGAGCGATCCCCCCACTACGCCCCACCCCGCTCACACACCCACGTTGGCTTTTCTCTCTTCTTTGGCTTTTCGAGGCAGCAGTGCCGGGAATACTCAAGAAAGCAATGGAGTGCTGCGAAGCCCAAGGAGGTCCTCCTCATGTCTCGGACTGGTCCAGGCAACCCAGGCAGGGCGACCCCATCTCGTTGCACTAACGGGCTTCTCGGAGACTTCTCGCATTGCCTCTGTGGCACAAGGGACTGGAGGGATGAAGGGTCAGGCAGATACAATGGAAAGCGGTGACCAAACAACTTCTTCTAGGGTGAGCTGGGGCAGAGGGGAGAGGAGCAAGCTTTGCATCTCAGCATGATGGCAGGTGGGACGTGTCCACAGGCTGAGATCGGCAGGTTTCTTTTTGCAGTCCCATATGAAAATGGAAACCATCAAGGGTGAGACTGTCCTTTACTGAAGAAGCTCATAGTATATTGAGCAGAAGCAATAAACCTGACAATAACAAGAAAAAAAAATGGTGGCATTATCC